AAATTGACTACACTCATTACTCACATTTGACTCTCTAATCTGAGTTTATTCGTTCCGGATTGATGCGAATAGGCCATGCACCCTATCTGGATATTCATAGATGCTCTAGACAACCTACCCAAGCTCTTATAAGAAACGGCCCCACTCTCACATCTATATAGGTGAATCCATCAAATGTATACTACAACTAGATACACTACCTAATCTAGGCTATGGATCCATTAAGAGATAAACTCAACCTTACCCATTGCTATTCACTATCTACACCATAAGGGTGAACTTTAAATATTAATTAAATTATGATAGTGTTACAAATCACCCAATGACTTGTTATTGCCCTTATGAACTTACTTCTTGGGATCTCCATTTATGTAAGTTGGATTACCATCATTTGCAATTTCTGTATAGGCATAAGTCTCATCCTCCTCGATATCTCACTCACTAGTTTTTCTCCTAGTGGTTTTGTCAGAGAATCAGCCAAATTCATCTTTGACTTCACAAAGTCTAGGGATATTATCCCATCATTAAGCAGCTGCCTCACAATATTATGTTTTAGCGTATATGTCTATTTTTACGATTATAGGTCTTATTCTTTGCCCTTGCTATTGCAGCTTGCCAATCACAATGCATAGACACAGATGGAACTGGTCTCATCCATAAAGGGATATCCGTTAAGAAGTTTCTTAACCACTCAACCTCAGTGTCAGCCTTCTCTAAGGCAATAAACTCGAACTCCATAGTTGATCGTGTTGTACACATATGCTTGGAAGATTTCCAGGACACTGCACCCCCACCAAGGGTGAACACATAACCACTTGTGAATTTTGTCTCATCTAAATCAGAGATCCAGTTAGCATCACTATATTCTTCTAATACAACAAGAAATCTACTATATGATAAACCATAATTAGCAGTACCTTTCAAGTATTTCATCAATCTAGATATAACATTCCAATGTTCTTTATTAGGGTTATGTGTGTATCTACTTAACCTACTAATAGCATATGCAACATCAAGACGTGTATAATTCATAAGATACACTAAACTTTCTATTATTTGTGCATAATCATTTTGACACATAGGATCACTTTTATTTTTCTTTAGTCTAATGCTAGCATCATAAGGTGTAGAAACAGGCTTACGATCAAAATGATTAAAGTTTCTAAGTATCTTATGTACATAGTATTCTTGAGACAACATCAAACTATTTGGGGTTCTCAAAATTTTAGTTCCTAAAATTACATCTGTCGCCCCCATATCTTTCATGTCTAACTTAGACATTAAGAACTTTTTAGTATTGGTAATAACCTCTATATTTGTATCCATTATAAGTATATCATCAACATACAAGCAAATAATAATACCAGAATTATCAAAAAACTTACAATATACACATTTGTCAGTGTCATTAATTTTAAAACCATTTCACCATAATAGATGATATTCTTCTAACCGGAGAATAAGTATCAAAATAATCAACATCTTTCTTTCGTTTATAACCTTTGGCTACTAGTTGGGCTTTGTACTTATCAACTGTGCCATCAATTTTCAATTTTCTTTTAAAAATTCATTTGCACCCAATAGGTTTTGCACCAGGAGGTAACTTTATTAATTCCCAAGTATGATTAGACGTAATGGAATCTAACTCGTCTTTAATTGCTTCTTTCCAAAAAGGAGCATCTTTGGACTTAATAGTTTCCTCATATGTTTGTGGGTCATTATCAATGAGAAATGTGAAAAATCCATTTCCTAAGTTAGTCTCCTTTCTTACTCTTTTACTCCTTCTTAGTTCAAGTACTTCTTCCCTAGATGTATCATATTTGGGTTCATTGCTAACACCAATTAATTTACTCTCATTTGATATCTTATTTTTCATAGGAAAAATATTCTTAAAGAATATAGCATTTTTTGCCTCAATGATTGTGTTAGGTACTAAAATATTATGCTCGCTTCTTATGACTAGAAACTTATAAGAAGTACTATTAATTGAATAGCTTATAAAAACACAATATGAGGTTTTAGAACCTAATTTTCTCTTCTTAGATTCCGGTAACATAACTTTTGCTAAACACTCCCACACTTTTAAATATTTTAAGGATGGTGGATGTCCTACCCAAAGTTCATAAGGAGTTTTTCCTATTTTCTTATGTGGAATTCTATTTTGAATATGACATGCCGATAGAATAGCTTCTCCCATAAATTATTCGGCAGTCCCAAACTTATTAACATAGAATTCATCATTTCCTTTAAAGTTCTATTTTTCCTTTTGGCTACACCATTAGATTCGGGTGAGTAAGGAGGAGTAACTTCATGTATAATACCAAGTTGCTCACAATAGTCATTAAAAGGATTAGATTCATATTCTCCTCCCCTATCAGTCCTCAATCTTTTTATTTTTCTATTCAGTTGATTTTCGACTTCTAGTTTATACTTGATAAACATTTCACTTGCTTCATCCTTATTTCTCAACAAGTATAATTTAGTATACCTCGAATAATCATCAATAAAAGTAACATAATATCTTTTCCACCTCTTGTCATGGTATTTTTAAGATTACCTAAATCACAGTGTATCAAGCTTAATAATTCGGTTTCTCTTTCTACCATTCTAGAAGACTTTTTAGTGATTTTAGATTCAACACAAACTTCACATTTATCAACATTTGAATTCAAAAAATTTGAGATGAGACCTAATTCTTTCATTTTCTTGATATACGTAAAATTCACATGACCTAATCTACCATGCCACATATCAAGAGAGTCAAGCACATAAACAAAAGAACTAGACTTATTCTCATTCATAATTTCAACAACATTTAGTATATAAAGACCCATATTACAGTGACCTTTCCCAACAAATGTCTCATTCTTGGTTATAATGATCTTATCACTCTCAAATATTACTTTGAGTCCCACCTTATTCAAGACAGATACCGACATCAAGTTTCAACGAATATTAGGCACGTGGAGCACTTCAGACAATGAGAAGATTTTTTCAAAAGTCAATTTTAATAATACCTTTCCCTTACCCATAACAGACAAGGATCTAGAGTCACCCACAAACACTTGTTCCTCTCCATCCCCCCACAGGTGTGTAAAAGGTAAAAACACTTCTATTGCCACAGATATGCTTGCTAGCCTAGAGTCTATCAACCAATCTTTTGTAGTAGCAGCCATGTTAGCCTCGGATACAACCGCAACAATAATATCATCTGCCTCAACCAAATTGACATTCAGCTTGGTAAGTTTGTCATTCCACTTTCGGTGTCAGCACTCTTGAGCATAATGTCCCGCCTTTCTACAAACAAAATAATTACCTTTCTTCTTAAAACTAGAACCTTGAGCCTTATGAAAATTTTTTCCATTGTGATTCTTTTTCTTATGCTTATATTGAGGCTTATTCATAGTTTCCACAACATTGGCCTTAGAGACATTTTCTTTGGCCATTTCAATTTATCCTTCAAATATTTTTTCTTCTCAATCCCAATATGGATAATCACATCTACCAAAGACAAATCCTTCCTTTTACGTTTAAAATTGTTCTTGTAAACTTTCCAAGAATCGGGTAATTTTTCAATCAAAGCATTGGCTACGAATGACTCAGGCAAAATAATTTTTGCATTCCTCAACTCATTAGTAATCAAATGATACTCATGAATTTAAGAAGACACATTCTTCTTCTCAACTATCTTATAGTCTAAGAAATTTTTTATTGCATATTTTTTAATCCCCGCATCTTCGTCAATATACTTTTTTACCAAACTATCCCAAATCTCTCTAGCATACTTATAATGATAATAAACATCAAACCATTCATTTGATAAAACATTCAAGATAATATTTCGACAAACCTTATCAGCCTTTTTCCCATTTTTCTTTTTCTCTTAAATAATTTTCTATATCTTCTTCGGGTTTTAAATCAGTCAACACAAATACAACACATGCTATATCAAGTAACATCATAATTTTCTGTTGTCATCGCTTAAAATTAGACCCATTGAAAGGCTCGATTTTTGTCACATCAAGAATAATCTTGTTTATAATTGTAGCATCTATATTGATCTATTCTTAAGATTGTTGTAAAAATTTCATATATTGCCTTACACCATGTGAATCAACTTAGAACATCTCCAGCAGATGCTTTAAAAGAGTAAAATAGCTAAAATTTAGCTATTTTGGAGCCAAAATTCACTCCAACAGATGCTCTTCACATTATGTAAAATACATTTTTGCTATAGTGACACTCTAAATATATAGTGTTGCTGTAGAAATATGTAAACATTATATATTATATTTTCTCTCTCTCTCTCTCTCTCTCTCTCTCTCTCTTCCTCTCCTTTTTTTCATTCTCTCTCTTTCTTTCTTTCACTATTCCCAAAAAAAATAATACAAAAGAAATGAGAAATGATATTTAAAAGGAGTAGTTAAAAATATAGAAAATTTGTTGGAGTGTGTATTGAAAAAGTGAGTAGCTAAAATAGAAAATGTTGCTTTTTGAGTAGGTAAAATACATTTTGTTGTTGGAGATGCTCTTATACCACTCTTCATTCATTCAAATCTTGTTCTTTTTTCAATGAGCAATGTTACATGGACTTAAAAAGTAGATTTAAAAAATAGACTTGATAATTTCAACTATTGATTTTACTGTGAGTTCCAGTATTTATTGGGACTCATTACCTATTCAATGGTTGAAATTATCAAATCTAATTTTTAAGTCTAGTTTTTAAGTCCATCTAGCATTACTTTTTTTCAATACCAATTGTTCTATTCTTCAATCAATCTCTTTTTTCATTATAGACTTTTCTCAGATTTCATAGCGACGCTAGAAGCTCTCTTATTTTTTGTGTTTCCCTTGGGGATTTTCCTTAAGTTGGTTCTGATTTGGTTCATAGAGTGTTCTTTTGTGTTCATTATAAAGAGGGTGGATGGACACTCATTGGCATTCAATCTTTCACATTATCTAGTCGTTCTACCGAACACAGTCTTCTTTCCACGACAAATATGGCTATTCGAAAACTAACCAAGGATATTGATTTAGGATCAGAGAATTCATATTATTTTGAAAAGGAAAATTTTGAAAACCCGTTGTGTAATAAAACTGAAAAGGTGTCTGATGATATACTTGATTTGTTGCCTTTTGATCCCTTTGTTATGGATATAAGTGTTCTGGAAATCACTGGTTGGAAAGAGGATTTTGATGAGGATTTTGGGTTAAAAATTCTTGGGTTTAGTACTAATGAATCAGAGCTCAAGGAAGAAGATGATCAACTATTGGCAGGACTAAATTCGGATTCAAACAGAATTTTTGGAGTGGTTGAAGAATATTTGGAAGAAAAAATTGAAAACCAGTCGCCTTATAGTTACATTCATGATCGACTATGTTCAAGATTTCATCAAAAATATTCGAACGATAGTATACAAACCAATGGAGATTTATGTATCATGATGTCAGATGCATCAGATATTGGGTATTGGCATTGGCTTTATGCTAAAGATCATTGAAGAGAGTATAAGAAGGATAATACTGAAAAGGTGTTTGATGATATACTTGATTTGTTGCCCTCTGATCCCTTTGGTATGGATACAAGTGTTCTGGAAATCACTGGTTGGAAGGAGGATTTTGATGAGGATTTTGGATTTGATGAGGATTTTGGGTTAAAAATTCTTGGTTTTGGTACTAATGAAGCAAAGGTCAAGGAAGAAGATGATAAAATATTGGCAAGACTAAATTCGGATTCAAACGAAATTTTTGGAGTGGATGAAGAATATTTGGAAGACAAATATTGGGAGCCCTGGGTTGCTATGAAACAACAACATCAGAGTCGCAACACAGTTGATGGCGATAGTGATCGAGACTGTCCTCCATTGATTGATGTTCTTGCTGATGCTCTGGATTTGAACATTGACGTAGTTGAGGAACACACATATTGGAAATCTTGGGTTGCTACCAGAAAGTATCAGAGGTTCAACACAATGTCTGACGATGGTGATCAAGGCTATCCAGATTCAGTGATTCATTCTGTTGCTCATGTTCTGGATTTGAGCAAAGACGACCTTCCAAATTTTTTTGGGTTTGCGCTTGCTGAATCGGAGGTCAAGAAAGGGAATGATCAATTATTTAGGGAACTGAATTCAGCTTATGGCGATGTTGATCAAGGCTATCCCGATTATGTGATTGATATTATTGCTGATGTTCTGGATTTGACTGAAGACGAAGTTCCGAAATTCTTTGGTTTGGGGGCTGATAAATTGGAGGTCAAGAAAGAGGATGATCCACTATATACAAAAGTGAATTGGGCTTTAAATTGTAGCATGAGTTCTTATCCTGAGGTGGGTGACATGAACACACATGAAAAATCGATTGGGTCTACAATGAATGAAGAATTTTGGAGTGGTACATATTGGGATTCTGACAAATATAGGGAGCTCGTGGCTGCTACTAATCAACTTCTATGGTGCAAAACAATTCGTGACAATCTTGAGAAGCTAGCTGTTGATCCTGACTGCTATTTTGATGATTGGGAAAAGGGTAAAACTGAAAAGCTGAGTGATTATGGTAATAATCACATATTGAAATAAGGATCTTGAGGAGGATTTTGGGTTTAAAATTCTTGGGTTTGGTAGTTGAGAATTAGAGGTCAAGCAAGAAGATGATCAAGGATTTGCAAGACTGAACTTGGATTTGAAGCGATAATCAAGGGGTCTGTAACGGCTAAATTAGGATCAAGTAACATTGCTTTTTTTGTACATAATTATTAGAAGAACTGGATTGCTACTCAACATCATCAGTGGTGCAAAACAGTTCATTGGAAGATGCTCTTCCTGATGTTCTGCAATTTAGTGGAGACAAAATACTGAGATTCTTTGAGAGGGCCAACCTAAATATTATATAGTTAGCACAGATTTTCATAGGACTAATCAAAGTCTGGTAAATAAATACATATTGTAGATTAGACTATTCCAACATTACAAACTTAAACTAATATGAATGGCATTTATATTTGTTTAGTGGCAACTTTTATTGCTTTTTCCTTGACGAAGCGTCTGAAATTTCGTAAACAATTTACTTGGACTTAATTTGCAGATCTAAATTACTGATGTCAATCATTTTATAAATTGAATTAGCCGCAAATCCCAATAATATTGAATAGTGTCACTATCAATTCAACAATTATAGTAAATTAAATTAATAAATTAAATTTGAATAATATTCATATTTGATTTCACTACTTTTTTGACCTATGAATTTTATACCGAGCTTGGGTTTTTGATGTCTCTAATGATTAGTAATTTTGATTATGTCAGGCTATATATTACATTTGCACATTCAAAGGGAATGTGCTTTATCAATTTCCATTTTTTTTCAAAACAAATAATATTCAACATAGTATATGCTAAGTCCATTTTTTAGTTATCATAACTTTTGTTGCAATATTAACAGTGTATGACATGCTATAAAAGTTTAAAATAGGTTGCAAATTGTTGCTCCAAAATCTATTGCTATTGACGGATGAGACTTAATCGATACACAGTTCTTAGGTGATTGCTTTTGATGGGTGCAATTATCATATTTCAGGACTTCCTTTGATGAATTTTAAATGGATAAACGGACAGAATAATGAACTAATAAAAGATAAATTCTTTGTTAATCTAGCCGAAGGAATTTCGATTACGGCAAAACTGAATTAACATCCTTGATTACAGTAGTAACTACTTCGTAAAACTAAATTAACACTACTCCTAAAAATGTCCAGATTGTGGGTCTTATGAGGATTTGAATATCTTCTTTAACTTCTCCATTGTCTTCCTTTTATAGCTATTAATTTCGATGATTTTGCCTCAATCAACGATTATCTTTGTTGGTAACTCCCAGACAGTAATCTCCTCGTTTGAAACAAAGTTGTGGTTGGTCATTTTTCACCTTTCTTCATATTCTGCCACGTGACCTCCTATTGATGCCTTCAGATTTTCAGATGTCGATGCATCGAACATTCCCATGATTTTAAATTTTAGGTCCAAACAATGTCACTCTCATTTAGTTAGATTTAACCTTAATTAACTCATATAAACAAACAATTATAACTGATATTCTTTTTGAATCATCTATTTAAAGTACTTCTGAATGGCTGAACCACAAAATCAAGTAATAATTCAAGCAATCGAATAGTCTACAATTGCTTAACCCCTGAACACCTATTTAAAGGCTTCAATCATTGTACTGTTCACTTAGGTCCTTCGTCCGCACTCCTCATTTTACTATTACTTTGGGTAATTTCTCCTTGCTTTCTTCAAACCCTTGATTCTCCTTAATGACATCTAAATGAAAGGTGGATCACCCCCATGCCTGTAGATCCTCCTCTAGATACATCTCTTGTTCGTTAGTTTTTTGCTAGCCTGAGATACGTCATCCGAGAGTCGGTTGATGAAAGAATTCTGATTCCCTTTGAGGATTTTGGCTCAAACTTCGCAAAGTCTTACCTTTAAATCAAGAGTTTTCTAGCACTGTCTAAGCACTATCCTATTTTAAAAGGAGAAGTCTTAACGCTTCATCGCCCTCATCTTCAATGCAAGTTTTGGACCAAGGAATCACTCCTCTAAAGACTTGAGTTGATCCAGACCAACAGTGGTCTGACTAGCTTGAACAGATGGAGGCCTACTTCACTGACCATGACAGCCCAAGATTTTTCATTAAAAGAGCTTTTCCACTCATACGAGTGAGATTAAAACTCTTTTCCTTGTCACAATACCATATTTTTCATTAAAAAAGAGCGATTTAAGCATTCACAAACTAGTTGCTATGAGGGCTTCTTTACTCAACCAGAATAGAGAGAGTTGGAAAGAGAAAAAGATTTACGAACAAATCAAGTTCTCAACAAACCCGTTGTACATGAACCGTTGGCTTATAGGCGCAGCTAGTTGCTTTTGGTCAAAATCTTGTAATGTCATGCTTCTTGCCCCTAGCATGATGTCCCCATCGATTCTTGATGTGGTGCATTTAACCAGACTCCCATTGATTGGGATTGAGGTAACTTCAAACCTGAAGCCCGATTGTATTCTAATAGATATCCCAACTAATTTCAACAATTCTAACCATATCAACTTATTCTATAAGATAGACTCTGACCCTCCTTCCTATAAAGAGCACATGGCATGTATTCTTCATTGGCTCTGTTGCTTTTTTCTTTGTGTACCCATTCTCAAAGTCACTAACAACCACTATAACATTGCCATTCTATTAGCAGATCAGAAACTATTGACCTTAGCCCATTTTATTTTGGAAGCTCTTTACAAATGCCTCTTTAGTATTACCGAAAGGGGAATCGACAGTCACTGTAGAGGACCCTTCTGGTATTTCAGGCATGGCTATATTCCTATTTCCCTAAAATTTGGCCCATTGAGTACCTCCTTTCGCCAAAATTTCATCCTATCAACTATGTTCATTACTTCTTTATGTAAGTGTCTCCATTTCTTCACAAGAATTTTGACTTCTACTTCAAAGCCTTTTATGACCTAGAGTTTGACAGAAATTCTCATCTCCTCATTCCTTTTTTTGAGGGCCTTTATTCTTCATTGCATCTTATGACATTTTTTTATGGCTTCATCGATCCTAGTGATGAGAAAGCCACTTATCTTTACACCTTTTGGGGCAGTACCCTTCTTCCTCGCTACCTTCATCTAGGTGGAGCAATCTATGACTTCAAATACTCCCTATGTAGTTTTGAAAAATACTCTCCTAGTCAAATAGCCAAACAATTTGGCTTTACCTAGAGAGTTCCTATGCCTTTCATGCATTCCCTCGTTGATGAGCATGCAAATCGAAGGGTCAGACTTAGAGACCCTTATCACGTCCATCTTATCTCCTCATCCTATAATAAGGCTTTGAAGAATTTTAGTTTCAAACATCTTCATGGGGAACCATCTATCTCTTCTTTATTAATAAACTGATGGCAACGTGCTTCAACCTCGATCATCGGTGACCAACCGAATGCTTATATATCTAGGCTATGCTTTGCCAAATGAAAACCCAATGCCCTATCCTTTCTACCATTATACTTATTCAGTGAACTCCAAGCAAAATCATCTACAATTCTTTCTTTCACTACTGAAGGCAATCTTGTAACGGATCCTTTCATCGACCCTGCTACTGGGGATGATTCGTCTCAAAGGAAGAAGTCCAAACAACAAGTAGGGACTGAAGAACAAGGTGTCTCTTTTTCCATGTGAGCCATACAAATGGCAAATGGAACAGTAACAAATGAAAGTGACTCGACCTTTTTCCTAACCCACCAAAGCACTACTACTAGCAGAGCGCATGCCTCTGTTGTACTTTATTTTGAAATAGAGATTTCTTCTGATTCTTCCTAGATTAAAGCAAAGCCCAAAGAAGGAATTTTAGCCAACAAATGGCTTAGTGACATGTTTGTTGTTTTTCTTCCCTGTAATTTTCTTATTTGTCCTTTGTTATGACCAAATTTTGTGTGGCCCAATCACTTTATAAGTAACTTTTTGGGAATGAAAATCTTTCATTTTTCCTTAGTATTTATTTTCTGGCTTTTGTTGTTGCTTTTCTTTATATATGTGTATTCTGGAACTTCCATAGCCATGCTTAGTGGCCCTCTCATATACTTACTTTAATCAATGTTGTAGGATTCTTACATGGTTGGATAATACTTTTTTAAATACCTCATGTTAATGGTTTTTCTATGCCATTTCCCCTAGGGGACTATAAGTGATAAGCTTCACCCTGCAATACTCTCTCTACTGTAAAAGGTCCCTCCCAATTAGGGGACCACTTACCATATTTTTTATCTTTACTCCCTAAGAGTAAGATAGCTTTCCAAATCAAATCCCCTTCAGAGAAGCTTTTGGACTTGAAATTTTTGTTATAAGTCATTTCTATTTTTTTCTTCTGAACTTGGATATGATTTAATGCCTCAAATTGACTTTCCTCCAAATCTTTCAACTCAAGGAACATTGCTTGAGTGCAAGTACCTATCAACATATTGTGGTGCTCTGCCATCCTCCTTGATCTTATAGTTATTTCCATAGGTATTACAACATCATGCCTATACACCAACACAAATGGTGTTGTTCATACGTTGATCTTCTTAGAAGTTCTATATGCCCACAAGACTTTTGGCAGCAACTCATGCCATTGCCTTAGGTTTTCTTCTGTAGTCTTTTTCAAAATCAACTTCAGTGTCTTGTTAGTTGATTCTGCTTGCCTATTAGCTTGGGCATGATAGGGTGATGTGTATAAAATTTGGATTTCATGCTCAGATGCAAACTCTGTTATTTATGTTCCTTTGAACATAGTGCCTTGATAGACAATAATTGTCTGAGACAAACTAAACCTATTGATAATGTGCTCTTTAATGAAGCCAATCACCTTCTGTTGATCTATAACATTCATAAGCACTGTTTCTACTCATTTTGTGAAATAATCAGTGGTCACTAAGATGTAGGAATGTTGTTTTGATGAGAAATGGTGAATTTGGCCGATCAAGTCCATTGTCCAACCCCTAAATAGCCATGGCTTCACAATTGAATGTAGCTCAATAATAGGGACCCTTTGGATT